ATTAAAATACATGTAGTTATGCAAGGCGGAGGCTTTGCAGTAAATAATTGCTCCAGGTATGAACCATGCTGAATAGTCAAATTAGCGAGCTAAAGAGTAAAGAATTCATTGACCGATGACAAATAGTGACAAAGCAAATATAGTGACTTTAAAGAAATTTCTATAAATGTTTAAGACGTTTAGTGTTTACTGCTAGACGTACATCCAGGCTCTAAATAGTTACTTTCAAGAAAAATTAGGTAGATACATAGATGTTTATTTACCCTAATCACTACAAATGTTTAAGTTGTTAATAAACAACCTCAAGAAATCGGATTTTGTGATGATATTCTATTTATTTTAATTAATATTCTGGAGGAAACACAGTGAAGGTTAGTTTTTATAGTGAATACTATTTATCAATACTGATTACTGTTGATTTGAAACTCGATTTTGATAATTATACGGTGTCGGTGAAACGAGGACGCAAAATCAATGGACAATGGCGGATTTTCAAGAAAATCATTATTTTCAAAATAGGCCGTTTCAATTTTAATAAGTTTTCGTTTCAACTGTGTCTTTAAAGGTTTATAACTATATATTTCGAAAGCTTCAAATGAGTGTTTTTACATGCGCAGCAAGGCGAGATTTTGAAAATGTAATAGATATTTTTGAATTTCCGTGGCATTAACAACAGTTTGTTGCGAACATTTTCTCGGCGAATTTTCTACTAACCTGAATATAAATCCAACTAAAATATAGGCATTTTCACAAGCATTCAAACCATCTGCGTTGGGGGTGTATGTCGTTAAATTTCGAATTAATATAAGCGGTTGAACCTCGTGCCTAAAACCAGACATTATATTGTCCGACTAGAATGTGTATTCCGACGGCAATTTTTACACCCTCGTTTAGGCAACGTTTTCTCGCTCAATATTCTAGCTACAATATTCTAACTCGTACCAAAATGTAGCTGAATTCACCAGCTATCTGACAATATGCGTAAAAATGTTACACCTGTAATATTCGCACGGATATAGTCGAATAAATGTTTATGTTGCATTGTGTGATTCGTTGTCTATAAAACGAGTGAGGGTGTCAAAATTACCGTCGGACGATACTAAATGTCTGGTTTAGGCACCAGTTTCAACCACTTATATTAATTCGAAATTTAACGATATTCACCCCTACCGTAGATGGTTTGAATGCTTGTGAAAATGCCTACATTTTAGTTGGAGCTATATTCCTGTAGCTACAATATTGAGCGAGAAAACGTTGTCTAAACGACGGGATCAAAATCACACAACGTAAACAAAAGTTTAATGCAACATATTAAACATACGACTTTTATTCCACTATATCTGTGCGAATATTACAGCTACAATAATTTTACACATATTGTCAGATAGCTGGTGAATTCAGCTACATTTTGGTACGAGCTATACTATTGTAGCAAGAGAATATTGGGCGAGAATTCGTTGCCTAAACGAGGGTGTACAAATTGCCGTCGGAATACACATTCTAGTCGGACAATATAATGTCTGGTTTTAGGCACGAGGTTCAACCGCTTATATTATATTAATTCGAAATTTAACGACATAAACCCCCAACGCGGATGGTTTGAAAGCTTGGCAAAATGCCTATATTTTAGTTGGATTTATATTCAGGTTAGTAGAAAATTCGCCGAGAAAATGTTCGCAACAAACTGTTGTTAATATGCCATGGAAATTCAAAAATATCTATTACATTTTCAAAATCTCGCCTTGCTGCGCATGTAAACACACGCATTTGAAGCTTTCAAAATATATAGTTATAAAACTTTAAAGGCACAGTTGGAACGAAAACTTATTAAAATTGAAACGGCCTAGTTTGAAACTAATGATTTTCTTGAAAACCCGCCAATGTCCATTGATTTTTCGTCCTCGTTTCACCGACATCGTATATCAAAATCGAGCTTCAAATCAACAGTAATCAGTATTGCAGTATTCACTATAAAAACTAACCTTCACTGTGTTCCCTCCAGAATATTTAAAAAAATACAATATCAGCCTTGGCAGCCTTGCACACAATCCGATTTCTTGAGGTTGTGTATTAACAACTTAAACATTTGTAGTGATTTATAGGGTAAATACCTATATCTTGAAAGTAACTATTTAGAGCCTGGATGTACGTCTAGCAGTAAACACTAACTGACTAAACGTCTGTAAACATTTATAGAAATTTCTTTAAAGTCACTATATTTGCTTTGTCACTATTTGTCATCGGTCAATGAATTCTTTACTCTTTAGCTCGCTAATTTGACTATTCAGCATGGTTCATACCTGGAGCAATTATTAACTGCAAAGCCTCCGCCTTGCATAACTACATTATTATTACATTTGTAATACCTGTTGTATATATTTTGCGTTGGGATTTCCGTAAAATATATCGCGGGTAAGGCTTTTTGTCCGCATCCGCATTTTATCCTTTTTGTCCGCATCCGCATTTTATCCTTTTTGTCCGCATCCGCATTTTATCCCTTTTGTCCGCATCCGCATTTTATCCTTTTTGTCCGCATCCGCATTTTATCCCTTTTGTCCGCATCCGCATTTTATCCCTTTTGTCCGCATCCGCATTTTATCCCTTTTGTCCGCATCCGCATTTTATCCCTTTTGTCCGCATCCGCATTTTATCCTTTTTGTCCGCATCCGCACTTTATCCCTTTTGTCCGCATCCGCATTTTATCCCTTTTGTCCGTCCGTCCGTCCGTCCGCGTGTCCGTCCGTCCGTCCGCATCCGCGTTTTATCCCAACCCCAAATTAAAGTATGTTTATAAAGAGTTGCAGTATAATTTACTCGCACTGCACACGCACACGGATTTCAGAAAATATGATTGGTTGGATTGGAAATAAATTATCATAGTAATTAGTGGGCGGTCAGTTCCCTTGGGCCTGCACGCAGGCTAAGTTTCCATGTGCAGATGTGATGTGCTTTTTGCGAAGACAGAAGGAGAGTTAGCTGTTGTTTTGGTTTTTTCCTGCGGGTTATTCTCAGGTAATCAGTGGTGTTGTGTTATTTTTATTACACTTATCAAAGGTACTTATCAAAGCATCAAGAATTTGTCTTGCGGTGTTTTATCGATTGGCAATCCGACATTTCTATTTGATTTAACTTCGCTCTGCTTAATAAAGGTTTGGACGCATATCCAGTAAATTCTCTTTGGTCATTGAATGTTGAAAAAGTAAATTTTGGTAAGCATTTGAATTTGCAGAGTTGTGTTGAAAAATATGAGTTTCAAAGCATGACAAATAAATACACAAATCCCAGTTAATTGGCTATAGTATAGTATACAAATAATGAATGTTTATGAGTGCAATGGTAAGAATATTTTCATGAGGTGAAAGATGGAATGTTCCATTCAACGAGACGACAGCCGAGTTGAATGGAACATTCCATCTTTCACCGAGTGAAAATATTCTTACCATTGCACGAAGAAACATTCATTATTTGTTTTATATAATACCAAAAGTCCAGAACAGACTAATAGATTCGTATGAGAAGCATTTTGAGGGATGCGATTTATCGAAATCACAAAGAGTGCAATTGTACTATACGTTTTATTCCATTGCACTCGCGGAGAGTGCAATGGAACGTGTTCCATTGCACTCTTGGGAAATGGAATTTTCTATTCAATATCACGTGACCATAAACAGCCAATTAAACGATTAGAATTTAATAAGGTATTATATAATACCGTATAGTATATTGTAGACTTGATGTTGTGTTTTCTTCGTTTGGAAACGATACGGACCAACCCTCGAATACTTCTGCGCTTTGCCGGACACCGATTAGCTAAGTCGCTGATTTGCTTTCGAGCTTGGAGACAGGAAGTTTTACCGCGCAGTTTGATCGTTGAAACGCACAAGTTACCAAGGGCAAATTCAAATGTTGTCAAGCGGAAATGCAAATCTTGTCATGGGAGATTTAGGCACTTTCTGGCAATCATAGTGAAGAAGGCATTACCCCAAATCAAACACATAATTTCTGTGCTTGGGGCAAATGCCTTCTTCACTATGATTGGCCGAAAGTGCCTAAATCTCCCATGACAACATTCCCATTTCCGCTTGACAACATTAAAATTTGCCCTTGTTAACTTGTGCATTTCAACGATCAAACAGTACAGTGAAACGTCCTGTCTCTAAGCTCAACTGCAAATCGCAGTAACAACAATGCCATTCATGCCAACTCGCCGTTGACGCCGTGAAACAGTGTAAATGGTCCTGTTATTACTTCATTGACTTTGTGTACGAGTTCAAGTTTAAATACAAGCATCCCAGTACAAGGGAATAGCACAAAAAAGCAATTTAAACTATGGCGTGCAACAAAGATCTGGCCACAGAATAAAGACATACAGAAGTGTAACTTCCATTACAAAACCGTAAGGCGCTTTTTTACCGAAATAGCTGGAGGCCATGTTCTTAGCAAGTGCTCTAAAGAGAGGCATTCACCCCTCTGGAATATTAAACTTTCAATATGTTTTCAGGGGGGTGACTGCCTCTCTTTAGGGCACTTGCTAAGAACATGGCGGACTGAAAAAAAACCTTACGCGAAATTACCTGAAGTGAGATCTCTGTATCTACTTCCTCTGTGATCTGGACAATTCCTCAACAATTTGATAAATTCCTTAAAAAGTTCCTAACTTCCTGTTTCATTGAGACATTGACCAATCAGATTGCTCAAAAATAAAATATAAAATTTGATTGGTCAATGAAACAGGAAGTTAGGAACTTTTTAAGGAACTTATCAAATTGTTGAGGAATTGTTCAGAGGTGTTCCTTCAAGTTAGGAAATGAACTGGTCGACATTTTTCGGAATGCTTCTATTGGCACGACTGTAATACTTGACGCCGTGCAAAGATTGTTAATCACGCCAATACAGCTAAAACCTCTTCTGAAAAGAACGAATATTTCCTGAAAGATGTTTTTGCCTGCTTCCTCCAAGGGGTGAATACAAAGTCGACTTGCAAAGACTACACGAAGTTGAGGAAGTAACAACAGGACTATTTACACTTTCTCGGCGTCAAAGTTTCCCGTTATCAGCTCAGTATAGTTCTCGGCAGGCTTCAGTGGCACCAAATTGCTTATCTTGCCTGGGCCTATTATCTGGGACAAATAAACACAACACAAAAAGAAAGTTCCCCTCTAAATATATCATCATAAGTTCTAAATAAATTATTACGTTACAATCAAACCTAGGAGTCGTTAGACCTATGGTAGTTAGCTTTATGCTGTTTGAAGGAAGTTCTGGTCACCTAACCAGCTAACCTCCAGTCCTCCATTGAATACAGAAATACCCAATTTCAAAATTAACAAGAATTACTTTATTTAAATTTCACAACAACAGTAATGTTTCATCAATGATTTCATAATGGTGTAAACACCACGCTGCTGGATTACCTCAAGACATCGTCTCCTCATGTTGAGGAGTCACATGCTGTTGAGATATAGCCATCCATTTCTCCTGCAACAATTGAGCCAAGTCAGCCCTCGTGCAGTATTCTTTGAACTGGCGATAGACATACCGCTTTTGCTGGTCCCGAAGATACTCAATTGGGTTGAGATCTGTAAAGTTTACAGGCCACATCATTCTCTTTCTGAGGGTACGATGCTGAATTAAGTTATTGAAAAGCGTGGTGTTTACACCATTATGAAATCATTGATGAAACATTACTGTTGTTGTGAAATTTAAATAAAGTAATTCTTTAAAACTGTGGCAATTGATACACCAGGCGGAAATCTTAGTTCAAAGATAAAGAGCAGAGCCCAGCAAATAACTTTAAAACCAAACATAATAAAAGTAAAATTTTTAATTAGCTAACGTTTCGTTGTTTACAATACAACATCTTCAGAGCAATCTAAATGAATTTACAGGGTATGGTATATATATTTACAAAATAATGGTTTAATATTACAAAAACGGTTACATAGTTTGAAAGAACAAATGAATAGAAAGAAAGGAAAACGACTTATCAGTAACTAGTTAATAAGTAACTATACTAATCATGCACTTAACATTAATCTTTACTTATTAACTAGTTACTGATAAGTTGTTTTTCTTTCTTTCTACTCATTTGTTCTTTCAAACTATGTAGCCGTTTTTGTAATATTAAACCATTATTTTGTAAATATATATACCATACCCTGTAAATTCATTTAGATTGCTCTGAAGATGTTGTATTGTAAACAACGAAACGTTTGCTAATTAAAATTTTACTTTTATTATGTTCAGTGGCGTAGCTAGCGAAATTTGACTAGTCCTGCTCTAAGACCCACACATTTTAGGGGGGTCCGGGGGTAAGCTCCCCCGGGAAATTTTGAATTTTAGAAGTCTGGAATGGCCATTTCCTGCGATTTCACGGCGAAATACTTCAAAGGGAAAATCAAAAAATTGCGTGATTAGCGGAAAATTTTTGATAATTTTTTTAGAAAAAAAATTTATAACTTTTTCAAATCCATGCATTTTTTTATCATATTTCACTATATATTTTTCAACTTAACTGAAATTGTAGCTAAATATAGTCAAGTCACGAAAGTGGAAAATATCATGTATACAATACGCGTCTGTAATACGATCTTTCACTTGATCAACACAATCCAACCTCACATAATCAACAATTGCATAACTATTATACTGTTGAACACGGCGTTTTATATACACTATAACGCTACGGCTAGCATTCGTTAAAAATTCACTACGTTTGTTAGTAATGTGACAGATCACTACGCCTGGCACTCTGAATGTAATTCAGTACACTATGCCTATGGTATTAATAATATAGCGTTTAATATAGTCTATGCGGCCAAATATCTACATAAACAGTGTGAATTGGTACAGTATATCATTTTTAAAATTAAACTCCATATATAATAGTGCTCGTTTCAAATGCACAAAGCAGATGAACTGGCAGTAAATATTACGTTCGTACTTTATATCAATACGACAGGCTTCACAAATGAAGTTTGTATTCCCCATTTAATATATTGTATTATAAAAATACACAATCATCAGTCGAGTCTGTTCACATGCATTTCGTGAGCTAAAATATCTTAGCAGAAGCCAGAAATTATATCAAAATCACATTGGGCTTCCACACTCGTTGATTTCCATATTCATAACTTGAGTAATCTCGACAGAATTAGTAAAAAGTGGGTTTAGTCACGCGGAAAGCTCGCAAGTAAAGACAATACAAGGCCAAGTCCTGCCATTTCGAGAGAGCAGGACTTCGCATTTGTAAACAGTCGGTTTGAGCATGCGCAGACCTAATTATCCAATCAGAAACCAAGATTTCTTGTATGAATTTACTATGAAATATACTAGCAAGTCCTGCCATTTGAAAATGGCAGGACTGAAATACGAGTCGCGTGTAAATCAATGTAGAGTTGCAGTTGCTAGGTAACAGACACGGCAAGCTGTAAAATTGCGTAAATATAACAGAATGCGAAAAACGTTTTAAAAAATAATAACGAAAAAGACGAGAAAATGAGACAAAATAACAATATGATAATGATAAATTTTTAAAGCTTCAAGATAAATAAAGCAATGCTTTAGTACGGAAATTTGGGGAAATTTTTAGTCCTGCTGGGCAGGACAAGCAGGACCGCTAGCTACGCCACTGA